CGAAGAAGATGATGAGATGCAATACTTTTATAGCTTCCGTCACACATGACAACAACAAACTATTAAGTCAATCCATTGTTAATGGGTTACCATTATTGAATTAAAAGTAATGTATATAAGGCTGGACGAAGAATTTATTTAAGATAATAAATTTAAATTTTTAAAATTTTAAGGGGCGAATTTAAATTTATAAAATTTCATGACGAACGAAAACATATATATTTTTAAAAACATAATTTTTTAAAATCCATGATAATTTTAAATTTTTGAGAAAGAGGCCTCCACCCACCCCTCATTACATCCCTTGGATGTATCAATTGCTTGAATTTTTCCTTCTTAACATCATGATGTTTACTTAGTGGTATTAAATTGACTTTTTATAAATCAATTTACTAAGAGCTACTAAACATTCGTTAATATTTTATTATATTATCTTAATTTTTAATTAATGTTCCATCTGTCTGTATCGATTAACCGACTCTTATCTCCTTATCCTTTGTAGAGTTGAAAACAATGGAAATTAAAAGAATAAAAAAATCACACTTGACAATTATTTAATGAAAATGTCAAATTCTAATATTTGTTTTGGATGATTTAATTTATTACCCAAATAGCAGAGTTATACTATAAAATCATATCATCCAAGGAACAAAGGAAAAACCGACTTACAACAAAAAATGGTTAGTCTACCTCAATGATTACGAAGATTAATATAAACATATAATTTATTATATCTTTCCTCTTAATTGAATACTTACAATCTCCTTAATGGAATTCAGGATCTCATCAACGTTTCTTGACTTCCTCGGAACAATCTTCGATTTCTTTCCTCCCACAGGAAATAAATAAGTGCACACAAAACAAGCTTCAAGATAGTAGTTAGGAGAGACTTACCTTTCCAAACACCACAAGCCTAAGCTAACATGTTAATCCATGTAAAGGTGGTATGCTCAAGCCGGTGAGATTCAGTATAGCTTTCCATAGGCAAACAGATGATCCCTAGTTTCCAGAACTTCATTGCATATTACACAAAATCCATCAGCAACGATTCCTATACGTTGAAGCCTCTATCTTGTTGAGAGTCTATCCATAAGTGCCATCCAAGAGATCATGATAAGTTTAGGAATGTGGAGGGCAAATTCTAATATTAGTTTATGTATTATATTTATAACTTTAACATTTAAATTTTAATTTTTGAAATTTTTTAATTTTGAAATTCTAATTTTGATCCAATTAATAAACATGAAATATATTTAATTAAATTACACTACTGATTTATGTATTGCGTGTAAGATGTACATTAATTGATATTCTTTAATTTAACCATCCTCAATCTATGTAATTTAGGTCTAATCTTTTATTGTTATCGGTCAAATAGCTACGTTGAGTTCTTTTTTCGAGTTAGATATTGATCTAGAAGATCACATTAGGTTTTTTTTAAGTTCAGGGACTTCGCCTGTCTTTTTGCCATATAAAGAGAAAAGAAGTGTTTGAGAGTGTGAGCCATACAAGTGGACGAATCCATCAACGCTAAGTCAACGTGTGGATTAGGACATCCCTTGCTTCCACTCCCCTACATTCATTTCACCAACAGATAATTCATTACTTTTGGCTTAATCTACAATAGGTCCCTCAACTCCATTTATCCTTCGATTCGGTATCTTAATTTTAAAAACTTTCTCGAATTGGTGTCTGTTCGGGCTTGACGTTTCAAAACTAATCAAGTTGTCACATTTATTAGTCGATTAAGTATCGTATCTCATGATCTTATTGGTTGCTAGAATTAAGTTGGATAATTGAAATCGATTAACTAGAACTTAACTGAATCGTAATATTTGGACGATTTATAATTCATAAGTTTAAAAATCGTGATTACTTGAATCAGACTGAATTATAATTTAAAATTAATTTTATAAAGTAAAATACATATTTTATATTTAAAAGGAGTGAAAAGAGCCTTAAAATTTACATAAAAAGCTATAATGATTTGTAATTACTTGAAAAATAAAATTTTAAAATTTATGAAATATATACTTAAATACTTTATCGGGTAATATTAAAAATCATAAAATAAAAATATTTTATTAAAATAAATATAAAAATTTAAAATCCTAAAAAAATCAATATTAATCGAATCAAAATATAAGATATGAGACCAATAGGAGTTGATTCAAGTGGTAAACATTAGTTAAGTCCGTATTAGTTAAGGTAAAGTCTTAAAACCGAGAAGGTAAAAAAAAAAGAGAGAATATGATTCAAAAGAGTAAAAAAAATGAGTTTAGGTGTTAAATTGATTCCAAAAAAGAGTTCAATTATCAAATTAACGCCAGCTTCCAATTTAGGGACTAAAACCTTTATATAGATTTTTTTCCAACAAACTTATTGATAACGTTGCTAAAAGTAGAAATTCTTTACCTGCATAGAGAACTGCAGAGGAGATGAATCGAGAGAGAGAGAGAGTTGTTTGCTGGTGGTGGGGTACCACAACCCTTCACACAACAGAGAGCTTTAATTCTCGGCCATGAAAATAAAACTTCTCTTTGGTAAACTATAATTGACTTTGTAACCACTCCAACAACAAGCTTTAACCTTGGGGCTTAAATCATAATTATTACTCTCCTCAGAGACTGGTGAAAATCACCACTCTCTTGTTACAACTATTAAAGAGATTTCTCAACCACACGTTTCAACATTTATTTTTTCTTGTTATAAAAAAATCACAGAACATTCGATCTTACAGGTTTATATATACTGGGTCTCTCTCTCCATAGCTTCTTAGCCTTCCATATCGTCTGAAAATGTGCAGAGGTTTGCAACAAGATCGGAACAGCTCGAGTTCTTGTCCGAAACAGGGTTTCTCGTCAGTGCACGATCCAGAAAGGGATGATGGTTCTTCATGGCTTGTGAACTGTGAGCTCTGCAATTCCAGGGCTTCCTTGTATTGTCAAGCTGATGATGCGTATCTGTGTAGGAAGTGTGATGAATGGGTTCATCAAGCTAATTTCTTGGCTCTCAGGCATATCAGGTGTTTCCTTTGTGATACATGTCAGAGTCTAAGTCAGAGATATCTCATCGGAGCTTCACAGGAAGTGGTGCTGCCGACGATTGTTAGCTCGTCGGAGAGAAGACGGTGTGACTCTGACATGGAATCTAAGCATTCAACGACGCTTAAAACACCTTTTCTTTTTCTCTGATTGTCACTTTTTTTCCTCCTGTTATGCAACTTTTGGATATGGAGGATCTTATCTGGTTAGCCTGAGGTATCATCGAGGGTTTACATATATGTATACATGTAAGCTTCGTATAGGTAAAGTCAAGAATGATGTAATCCTCAGTGTTGTGTAAACCAGATTGACTCTCTTTCATTAGTGCATTTTTTTTATGCAAACTCTAACATTTAGCTTTCTTTATTTCTTTCTTTTCTTTAATTTGGAGTATAAATCACAAGAAATACATTATTCAGACTCATACGTGAATGTCAGACACAAGTATCAAGTACGGATATTTCAAGAATAATGAAGAATCCGAGCATCATGGGTGCAAAGGAGGAGAAACTAGAAGATTTAGTGCAAGATTTGTATGATTGTTGGTGCTTCATGGAAAGAGAGTATAAATCACAAGAAATACGTTATTCAGACTCGGACGTAAATGTGAGACAGGAGTATCAAGTACGAATATTTTAGGAATAATGAAGAACCGGAGGTGCAAAGGAGGAAAAAGTAGAAGATTTAGTGCAAATTTTGTATGATTGTTAGTGCTTTATGGAAAGAGAGGTCTAAATTTACCTGCACCAATTAGTCATTCATTAGAGAAGTTAAAAAGATGTACTATAAAAATGATTATTTTGCATCAAATTGAGGCTGATGCCTCAGGAAAAGCGAAAGCCAGCTGATGATTTATTGTCTTCCAGTATCAATCTGAAAAATATTATAGAACCGTTCGATTCACAGTGTGTGATCCAAATCATGATCCTGAGAAGAAGCAACAATCTGAAACTAAGCACTCACTATCTACGGGGTCCCCAGTAACAATTGAGGACAAAAATTGCTTTACGTCACAAGATGGGGTATGGACTGTGAAGTGTGGGGGCTAATCAGTAAGGGGAGAAATTAATCGTCCCATCTGATTCATGATTTCATCAGATGATGCTCGGTTGGTGTGTCCGTAGTAGAATAACTCAGGTTTATGATAGGTTGAAATCATGATGAGCCATTGCCCATGCTTTGGTTCTGCTGTCATCTTTCTGGTATCCAAAAGGGTCACCTTATCCTATCCTATCGTATCATATGGGAATATCAATGATTGATGTTCATAAAATTCTCTATTTCCAGCAATGGGGTTTCTAATCATCAGTTTTCATGTTCTGAAATTCAGACTGTTTCTCCTCCCTAAATCAAATCTCTGTCATCACATACAGAGATTCCCCGGGTATAGTTTCAGTTTGGTTAAACCATCAAGAAAACAAATGAAGGGAAAGGAGGTCAAAACTTACAGTTTTCCATTGTATCCTGAAACTAACCCATACTGATCCTTTTTCCAGGTAGCCAGCCAGTAAACCAGCTTGCATAAAAACATCATGTCATTTTTCTGACAACTTCACAGTGCTTAATGTCAGCATTGGACAATTGTTTGCTTTCTTCATTTGTGTGTGTGTGTATTACCCTTTTCCCATCTGTCTTTTTCTTGTGCTTCAAGGAAACTGAACTCAACTACCTCGACCGATCTCCATGTTTCATTCTTGATAGTTAATGTCATCTGCAGATAAAAGAATCATACATGATAAAATATATAAACTACTAAAAAATATGGAACAAACCGAAAGAAAAAATAGTGTTTTATTATTCTGACAAAGTGCTACTCCTTATTTCAATTCGATGACAATGGATCGGTGCTTATTACATGGAAAGGAGCTGGGTGCACCGTACAAAATAAGAAAAACAAAATTGAGTTTCCACAAGGGTTTTGCCTTGTGCTACGAAGATGGAGATGGCGACAAAAGCAAGAGAAGGATCTAGTTCTGTTGAAACAAACCGAAAGAAGAAATAGTGATTTATGATTCTGACAAAGTGCTACTCCTTATTTCAATTCGATGGCAACGGATGGGTGCTTATTACATGGAAAAGAGATGGGTGCACCGTACAAAATAAGATAAGCAAAATTGAGTTGCAACAAGAGCTTTGCGTTGTGCTAAGAAGATGGAGATGGAGACAAAAGCAAGAGAAATATCTAAGTATTTGGGAAGGCAAAAGAATATGCACCAAAACTTGTTACTTCCAAGGTTCTTCACATCCAGTTCAACATCTTGGAGTGTGTATCCTTTATGATTTCCTGCATATAACACAACAGCATAACATACTCAGTGATGAAGTTGATATAAATTCCTTTTGTTTTTTCAATGGACAAATGAAGCACAGAAAGGCATCAAGTCAAATTCATTAGTACATGTAATCAGTGGTTTTACAAGAATAGTTTACTGTCAAGAGCCCAATTACCAATCACAAAGGAACTATAACACAAGCATAATTGAGGCTGTTCGTAGATTGTCAGGGAACAGGTCAGTTAGCTTGAATGTCCATAAACTCAAATGAGATGAGGGGGCCAGCACAATAGATCGACCAATGCACATGAAACAGGCTTATGTACTGAAACGAAATAACCTTCATACTGAATGCAAACAATAACAGCTGCTCATACAGAGGATTGGAAGTGAGAGAGGGACCTATAGCGGCATTAAGTTGGAATCTATGGTTTACTGCCCCTTTCTGTAATCAAGGAAGAGTAACTAAACCTGCAGCAAAAAGGTACAATTGACCTAAGTTGAGCATGTTTGCAAGGAAATGATGCATTAAAAAATTTCTAAGATAGCAAAATCATTAAAAAGATGCTAAGTGTATGCATATTTCAGCAGATATTGCTATCGACATTTACAAACTATAATTTAGCTAGAGAAATTATGATTTTGTGTCAGCTATAGAGTTCTAAGCAATGAAAAGGAAGGATTCGGACTTGAACAGTAAAAGTTCATGCAATATGAAGCTAATGCTGTGATTGACCACTCTATGTGCAATATCAGTCTAAGTCGACATTGGAAACTTTTGCAAACATCAAAAAACTTTTCCAGATCTGCTCTAGTAGAAAACTTGATTCCCATAAAGCTAACCAATCTGAATTTTCTGTTTACCTTTACATATATTATAACCCAAATTATCTCAATGGAAATGTGGGCTACTTCGGAGATGACTAAACTTTTTTATCTCTTTTTTTTCCCCTATTTTCTTCACTCTAACGCTACATGTTTCTTAGTTTCTTCAGTCTAGTGTTAATAAAAGCTCTTGGACAGCAATTTTGAGCCATTGCACACCTTTTAGTTTTTTGCTGAAAAATAGGGTTGGATATACATATCATATCTAAGTTTGATCCACTACAGACCTTTTAGAAGAAACTTGAAAAATAAACCTCTATCTCAAAGTACAATTGGGTACAGCTGATACAAGTAATAAGATCTTGACTTGACTGAGTTGTGTATACATGATATCTACTGCCTGATGATATGAGAATGCACCACACAGCATTTATAAATCTTCATGCTTATCATGTTATTACAAGCAAGATTATTTACAAGTATTTTCAGGTAGGCTGTTTAATATTTCGTTATACTTGTTACCTTCAAGATCAGGGACATGATTACATAATGTAGCTTATACATTTCGTGGCACAAGAGGATCATAGTCATATGCTTCACCTGCTTTCACAAATCGACCTTTAACACGTTTCCTAGTGTCAGCCCTGGCTTTACGGGAAGCATATCTTATTTGCTTACCAAATCTGTAAATAACAAAAATGAAAAACCAGGTAGGATTTTAGTTAAAGCATAAATAATTATATGATCACCCTGACCATATGTGAACAAGCAACTATTCAAGCATGACTTAATACGTACAATAAAATGCAGAACTGTTGCCTCCATATAAAAAGGAAAACTAAAGCATTAATAATTACGCGGAGATGCTTATATTTTTATAGCCATAATAATGGCTTCAGTGGTGTATGTCAACTTAACTATCTCTCCACTATTTTTCTATTCCAGGAAAAGTAAAACAGTAATGATATTTACAACTTTCTATTTATGACTTCATATGTTTAAAAGATAACCTATAAAAAACAGACAATAACATGGTTGACATCCCAAAGGAAGTTGATTTATAGAGTATCGGATGTTAAACTAGAATGCAGTATGATTCAGAAGATTGGAGAGGCTAAGATCATGTTAAATGAGAAACACTTTTCAGAAAGAAAAAAAGAGAAACACTTCATTGTTAAATGCCCTCAAATCATTTAGCCTGAAAATGAACTACCTTGTAATCTATTAATGTGAAACAGAATGTAAATGTCCCTTTCAGTGTAAGAAGGATAAGAATCATACGTCCGTGTTTTCTTTTTTTCATTGTATCTCATCTTCGCTTTCTGTCTTGCTTGTGGACAACTAACTTCTAAACTTGATTCCCATGGCGATTCTCCAGTTAGAAAAAAAGGTGATAATCCACAGTCTTGATAATCAACAGGGCTATTTTCCCCTGCAACGTTGGATAATGAATGAGCCATGGTTGAAGGAAGCTGACCACCAGGATATCTAAGATTGGTGTTACAACCAGGATTCATAAGCATGCAATAGGAATTCCCGTTCATGGAAGCCATCACACTGGCTAAGCCACCAACTTGAGGGGTTGGAAAAGGCATGCATTCCTTTTGTCCTGATGATGATGCCTGATAAGACACAAAATAGTGGCATATCAACCATGAACAGGACAAGAAAACTATTATCCACTTCAATAAAGAAAACTAGATAAATCAAGAACAAAAATACATAGCTGCAGGTAAATAATACCAGTATTTCCCCCCCCCCCCAAAAGTCAAGGATTAGGCCTGACAAGTTAATCTACAAGGGATCATGGAGTGAAATCTTCATCCTAACAGGTATTAATTATGTTCCAAACTTTGTAAGCATGTATCAAAATTCTCATTCCCTTTCCTTATCATATGTATGCTAATTTTTTATTTTGTAGAACAGAAGATAGTGTTAAAAAGTATAATCTGCACATAAAATTTAAAACCAGAGCAGTGTAACGAACCGATTATTTAAACAAATGCTGCAAATGGAGGTGACTGAGGATAGGGTCCGTGGTTTTTTATCATAGTACAAAGCTTCATGTTCTAGACCTTACCAATGAATCACAAATGCATTAAAATTGAAATGATTGGGAATATGATCCTCCAAGCACCTTTCAAATAAATGAAAAAAAAAACACTAGAAAAATGAACATTCTTGTGTCCAATCCATAAATGTACCTAACTCTCACATTCGAGTTAGAGTATCACAGAATGCACTAGATAATATAACAGTGAATGATGTTCATGGATTTTGGACTATTAGAAACATTAACTATGTAGTACATGGATTCTAGACTTTTGTCCCCTCTAACATAATAATGAATGATGTACTGCAAAAGGTAGGATTTACAGCTCATAGCTCTTCTATGAATAATTCTCATGCACATGCAATACTCACGAAGATTAGATTAGAAAAATAGGGAGATAAATAGAATATAAAACAATAGATGGCTTTATAAAATATATTTAGCAATTGATTTATAGAAAACCTCTATTGTATTCTCAATATGACCATCTGATTTGGTTACTGATAAGGTGTTCTCCATCAGTATGCTGTCTGTCTCAACACTTTCAAACTGGTATCCACTTTTACCTAGTGAACAGTCCAATATCTCATCTGCAGTTTCAAAGGTAAGCGGAAAATCATTTATGTTCAGACCCTCACAGAGATCATCACTAACAGGAATTTTGCAATCTTTGAGGTCAGAATAACCCTGCAACATGGGCGGCAAAAAAGGAAAATGAATCATGCACTGTGAGAAATAGCAGCTTCTACTCAAATGCCATAGCTTTTAAATTACTGCAGCATGTAACAGTGACTAAATAAAAGAGATGCCTCGTACCAGTAGAACCAAGCTATAATTTAAATTCAATTGCTTCCATCACAAGTTCAAATAAGTCCAGCAGCAAAAAGCAATACCTTTGGCATATTCGATGCCTCGGAGAAAAGAGGTTCTTGATCTCCACGATAAGGCAAGCAATTTGCATTAGTTGATATCAAACAAGATGGTTCTGTCCACGGCTTTAGTTTAGGACTAGATTTTAGCTCATTCAGTTTAGTCCCATCCAATCCAAATGACGCCCCTTGTTCTCTTTGATTCGAACAGTTGGCAAAACAATCATCATGACCAGACAAAGCACCACCAACTGGCACACCAGCATCAAGAACTGAAGACCAGATCCGTCTAAATTCGGCCAAAGAAGGACAACCGGTATAACAATTCAATGGTTCCCTCCTATGTCCCAAACCCGAACAACCATTACAATTCCAATCACAATCTTGACAAAGAGACAATTTCTCATCCAAACACCGGACTACCGCGGACTGAGAATTGCATTTCTCACACAAAAGCGAACGAGCATGTCTACACGACAACAGATTTGCAGAGTGAACACACCCATCACATCTCAAGCAAAGCCGAGCCGAATCCGATCTACAGTAAACTACTGCTCTCACCCCTCGACAAAAATCGCATATAGGTTCCATACTACCCTCCTCACACTTGATTATCTTAATCCCCCAAATACAATTGTTTTAATTTTTAACCGCTCCAACTAAACGGAAAACTCATGTTGGGAATTCGGCATCATTGATTTCTCAACACAAAAGTACTAACCTTCATCATTAAAATCAGGAGAAAAAAAACACATTAAAATTCTATCCGAAATATGTATAATGAAAAGCGGAATTTGAATCATTTAAATGCTTATAACCATAGAAAATGAATTAGATTGAGCTTGTACTTTACCTATTCAGCCAAAAAAAATGGCTCCGAATTCCCTCCTCTGAACCAGCATGGATTTCGATCAGCCAATGTCGATGTACATAGAATCCACTGACGGAAGCAAAGAGACATCGAAGAATAAATACGAAAAAATATGAAAATAATTTCAACAATAATGGGGATAAACGCACCAAAAGAAAGCGTGAGACAGTGAAGAGCACTAAGCCTTTTGTTCGGTTTACTTTGGAAGAAGTTGAAGAAGTTTTTTTTTTCTCCAGAAAATTACAGTTAGGTAAAGCGGTATAATATTCGCGTTTGTCCGAGGTTTACGGAATGAGTGACACGTGGGATATTTTGAGCTTTGATAATGGGATACTCGTTTGTCTGACGTGGATATGTGAATTTTTATTGGGGTCAGGCTTTTTAGTCGGGGCGATGGCAAGGCTGGTAAATAAATACGCCGGAAAAGATTGGCTCACAAACTTGTTGACACGTGGGCACCGTGATTTTCGCGGGTTTTTCATTGACCTTCGAGTGCGACAATGAAGCCCTCACCTATCTCGAGATCGTAGACGACACGTGGATTTTGTGTCCCAACAGTTTTTAATTGGTGGTCTAGTGCTGATCTGGCATTTTTCTTTTTCGATAAATGTACAAGAATATTGCCGAAAAGGAAAAAAAAATATAAATACAAACGAAAAAATATATTACATATGTTGATGTTAGAAGACGCGCGACATTTTGAAAACGTCTGTTTTAGATTGTAATCACCATTTTTTTGGGTTATATTATTATTATACACAACCAAAATCTATTTACAAACAACCCAACAACCCGAGTCCAAACTAAATTACAAACTTAACCTAAACCCCAACCTAGCTAACCTTAACCCTAAGCCTCTTTCCTATTATCGTCTGCCAACGCAAAGGCAATGATTCTAAGCATATATATATATATATTAACATTATAAAATTTTTAAATGATGTAAACATAAATAAAATTTCATGGTAGAAATCATTAATAAAATAAATTATTAATCGAAAAAAATCTAAATTTTAAGACAAACACATGTTCATCTCAACCATAAGTGCATCCGCACTAAATAAAATATCCATTAATGGTTAAAATTTGTCATAGGACACTTCGTTTTCCCCCCTAGAGATTCTATTTCTTTTCAAGAGAAAATTATCAGGAAAGAAAACGACGCGTACCGTTTCATCCTTAAGATAATCCTATAATTTTTTTTTTTGGATAATTAATCCTATAAAATTTTGGTCCCTTCACCATGCTTAAATTTGAGATTTAACTTTCACACTTCAATTTAATCTCTATTTTATAATATTATTAAATAATCAAATTTAATAATTCAAATTCATCATGTTGACATTTATTTTTTTCATGTTGAAAGGACTAAGGAGTGATTAAACAAGTCAACGTGAACATAAAAATTTATGTTAAAAATATAATAAATTCTCATTTAAATAAAAGTAAAATAATCCATTAAGCGGTAGTTGTGGTAAAAAAGAAATGTTATTTTCCTTAAAAGATTCGAATATTCTGAATATATATTATATTATATTAATAGAAAATATAAAAAAAAAATTAGGGTGAGCGCACATATGTTAGAAACAAAAAAATTATGTGGGATGAACATAAATAAAATTTAAAGGTATCAATAAAATATGTAACTATCCACCTAAACTTGTTATAGATTTGTCACTATCTTATAATCACCTTAAATTATTTAATTTTTTTTTAAATAAACAAAAGAATTTTGACATAAAATATAATGAGATTAAATATGAAAGTTAAGCATAATAGAGGTACCAAAATCATAATTTGACCTAAAATATTTTCCATTTGAATAATAAAATTAAAAAAATGAACAACAAAAATGAAAAGGGAAAAGTGGAATCTCTCCGGTCCTAACCATCTAACCTTACGTTCTATCCACAGTTGAAGCCAAAAGAAGAAATCTTTATTTACAGAGCGAAAGTGGTGAATTTTTCATTATTTATCTTTGAAATGATTTAATTAAATGACGTTTAGATGTTGAGAATCTGAAAAAACCTCCTCTCATACGCTACAACAAGGACGCTTTTGCACGATCTAGCGGCGGTGTCGTTTATTAATCGAGTGGTCATGGCGGAGCCATCTTCGTCTTTTTCATCATCCAAGGACGAGCTGGTTCAGCTCATTAAACGTCTCGGAACTTATCTGGCCCTCAAGATGTCAAATCTCTTCTCGATCTCGTTCCAGAAACTGGTTCTTTTTCTTTCTCTCTTGAATTTCTCTTCTCGTATTTTTGGCGGATCCGATGCGACCTTTCTGTAGTTCGAAGACTTCATTTTTAATAATTAGTCATGTGATTTAGTAATTTATTGGTGCTTTTAGGGTAATCTTGATTCAGATGATTGAGTTTTTTTTAGAAAATTTGTTTACTGAAGAAAATTATAATATTAGATGAATTAATCTTATAGCAGCTTTGAATTTCTCGTCATTTAGGTAAATTGTTAAATTCTTCTACTGGTTTATTGTATGATAAATTGTTACGGACAATAAATGGTGTTGATTCGTCTTGAATGCGACCTCCTTTTTTTTACGGTATTGATTTTTGAGCTTTGCTTCTATACGGAGAGTGAAAAATACATATCGAGGTGAAAAGAATCTAAAATCTGTAGTACTGACACGACTAGTTTCATCTGTGATTGCTATATCACAATATCACACTAGTTACCATGACATAAGTTTCTTGAAAATGATGGTTGTATTGTAAGAAGGCATGCCCTATAGTCTGCTACTGAATTGAGAAAGAGACCTTTTTCTTTGTTTAGCTTGTTGCATCTGGGCATGTAGTGCTGTTCATAGTTCTATCCTTCTTTTTCTGTTCAACGAATATGAATCTATTATGTTCTTTTGGGTAATGTTTCTGATGTGTATGTTCTTCCCATGCCGTTATTGGCATCAGGATCCACGATCTGTTGGGGCTATCGCTGGGCTTGCTGTTGCAATTGTCTTTACCTATAGGTTGATGAGATCACCTGCAGCACGACCAAGAAGGCAACCAAAACGTCAAAATCCATCAACCAGTAGCTCTTCTATCAGTACCCAGTCAAATGCAACATTGGCACCTTCTGAAGTTTGTTCGCCTTCAGAGGATTTAAGAGCACAAAATGTTGTTGATGAGTTCTTCCAGCCGGTAAAGGTACGAATTGACCTCTTTCTCCTACATTTTGAAATGTTTGTTACTCTCTTTGTAATTTGCATCTCTCTGTTTCCTTCTTTGCAGCCAACACTGGGACAAATAGTTAGGCAGAAACTGAGTGAAGGTAGAAAGGTAACCTTCATATTCTCCTTCGTCCTTAATGATAATAAAATAAGAAAACGTATGATGTTTATTTTATTTGTATCCTTTTTTTCTGGAAGTAGGATTCTTTGATATGTTGCTTAACCTTGGACAGAGTTAGAAATGAGGATTTGTTGTTTTGCTCATTCAAACGTTTGGTTTTCTTTGTTTAGGACCTTTTTGATGTGACAACCATGTTCCTTTAGTAATGATTAATAACAGAAAAAAGAAACTTGAAAGTTTCACTCGTAGAACTAGTATTCTTTCGAATGGAACTTTTAACTCATTTTTTCTTAATGTGATTGTAGGTGTCACTTTAATCTAAGGTTTTCTTGAAAAGTTTTGATTTCTTTGCTTGTAGTTAGGTAAACTGGCCAGGGTAACTCAATAGCTTTTATAGCCATCTCATACGATCCTGAATCCTGTTTGAGGGTTTTTCCGGAGTATTAGATTGTATGGGAATTTGTTTTCTATCAATTGTTTAAATGGACTAATCACCTTATCTGTTCTATTCACTAGATGATTTGTCAGAATAAATTGCTAGAGTAACTATGAAAATAATACCAAAATCCAGCATATCCGTATATTCTCTTCTTTTAATTAACTTGTGTTAGTCAATATTTTAACCGAAGCTATCACAGCATCCTGCTATTGTAAATTTAACTTCTAGAAATCTGCCCACACTTTGCATGTGAGTCTTACATGACATGGTTTAGTTATTACCGGCAGCATTACCTGGTATAGTCATAACATGCTGCTATACTACTACTGTGGAAGAATTAGTTGAATTGATTTTGTGCTATTACTTTAGTCTTTACATACAAATCACGAGCTAGTTAACTTCTCACATAAGTACTGATAACTTCTTCTGAAATTTGCCAAGAGCCACATAATCTTCTAGTTTAACCTCTAGGTTTTCATACTTGAGTGCATATTGGTATCAATGCATATGCTGTTTTCTCAAGCAACTTGTCAGGCCTTTTCTTAAGCTCTTCACTTAACTTAATGGTACGACAACTTATTGGAGTAGGTAACATGTCGTTTGCTTGGAGTTATCCTTGAGGAAAGCAGTCCAGAGGAGCTGCAGGTGGTAATCTTTTCTGTGAGCTTTGTGTCTGTAGCTTTCATCTGAAAATAGTTAATTTGATTGGTTTAATTCTGGATAGAAACAAGCAACGGTTAAGTCCTCTGTGTTGGATGTGCTATTGGAGATAACCAAATTTTGTGATCTTTATCTCATGGAGAGAGTTATTGATGATGAAAGCGAAGTGAGTTCGAACCTTTTTCTATTGTATTAATTTATATGCTTATTTTTCAATGCATAAACTTCACTTAAATGTATTTTATGACATATTAGGTGTTTCAGGTTTTGATAGGTATATTCTTCTAATTGCATATGTGGTATTCCTCCTTATTTGTTGCATACAGCAGTACTTTAGGCTACTTGCTGATTTTCATATCATGTGTTTTACCTGGTGACTAACATTGTGTAAGTGTTTGTCTCTAGAAAAATGTACTTCTGGCCTTGGAAAATGCTGGAATTTTCACCTCAGGTGGTTTGGTCAAAGACAAGGTGTGTTATTGTGATTTTATAGTTATTTTTCTTGGATTTAGATATCTCAAATTGGTATGAGCCTCCAGTCAGTGATATTAAGATATAAACTAGTTGATCATTCTTTCTTTGCTAATTTCAGAAATTTAGCGTTCTATCCTCGTGCTTTTGTTCATATATTTATATTTTTACTTTGCTGAAATGAATCTGCAGGTTCTCTTTTGCAGCACAGAGAATGGACGCACATCTTTTGTTCGGCAACTAGAACCAGACTGGCATATTGACACAAATCCTGAAATAGTTTCTCAGTTAGCTGTATAATTTTTGTTTCTTGCCATAATTTTCGACATAGTTATTCAAGCCGCACTTAGAATGTTCTGATATTGGATTCTGAGTTGTATTCTCGTCACAATGCCAATGATTTGGAGTTTTTTTTCTTCGCAGAGATTCATCAAATATCAACTCCACATTTCTCCCGTCAGATCTGAAAGGACTGCAGTTAATGTTTTCAGCTCTCCATCCTTGGAGCACTTCTTTGGATGCGCTTGACTTTTGAGCCGGTAAAAATATGCAAATATGTTTTAAAGTTGTTTCTTTACTACCCTTTGGTCGTTATGTGTGACCCTTTTCCGTTACAGCCCGTCCCGACATTTTCTTTCTCAAGGCACCCTTGTGCTGATCTGTCAGTTTTTAGGGCAATGGAGAAGTACTCCATGCATCAATTAATGTTTGTAATCTTGATAGTCGAAGGATATGCAATGCAATCTTAAAGAATAATTTTGTTGCTTCACCTTGCCTTGTCTTTTTGGTACTAAGAGCTGTTGCTTGCTTTATGCTACACAAGCTAATTGACCTTTATATTCTTATAAAATCATGCAAGAACTAAGGTAGGCCAATTTGTGGAGTACGAGCTTAGTTTAATTGATTCATATGGCCATTCTTAAGATGCATTGTGATGGTGAACCCTTAATGTTGATTTCTTAATTTCATTATTACCTGTAATTAAATCATGTGATGATGAACTCGTAAATGATTCGATAAGACGTTGTGGGTCATTTATTTAGAGTGTTTTATCAATGGAATTTTACATTTTGGGCCATTTAGGGGTCTGATGTTGCATTGTAGTATAATACATTATATAACAATTTGAAAAGTCGTGATACCACTTCCTTGTATAGTAATGTGATATTATTTGTGTTGTGTTGTCCTCTTAATTTAATATTGTGCTAGTAATAGATGGTATGTTGATTTCACAGGGAAAAAAATCCCCCACTGCACATTGATGGTAAATATATAAATCATTACATTTATGAAGTCCCAACACATTTCAGCCATTCAGCTTGCACAGGTACTAGTTTTTGGCTTTTCCAGATGAGCGATAGCTATACGTAATATAAGCCCCAAGTGCCGCAATCACCAAAACCGAGACCCCTATATTAATCAGCAACTGCCGATCTTCAGCATCGTCGGTGGCCAGCCTCTTCACCGTCTTCATTATTGTATCCATACCTCTCATTTCCATGAACCCGCCGCCACCCTCTTTCGGCTTCTTCTCGACGGCGCCGCCTTTCTCTGAAGGCTTCAACATATCGGTGGTGGCTTTGGGCGTGGAATCTTTAGCCTTTTCTTTGACTAAATCCTTTAATCCATCTTTAGTTTCGCCCTTTTTCTCAACAACCTCTGGCGTAGCCACCATAGATCCGTCAGCCTTTTCTTCTCCGGTTTGCTTTGCTGTGGGAGAAACCTTCCTTTGTATTTCCTCTTGTTGCTTCAATGACGGCAATGCCTCAATCTCCTTCCCTTTAGCCTTTTCTTCCACGGTTTGCTTTGCGGGGGGAGAAACCTTCCTTTGTATTTCTTCTTGTTGCTTCAATGACGGCAATGCCTCAACCTCTTTCCCTTTAGCCTTTTCTTTTCTGGTTTGCTTTGCGGTGGGAGAAACCTTCCTTTGTATTTCTTCTTGTTGCTTCAATGGCGGCAATGTCTCGACCTCCTTCTTCCCTTTAGCCTTTTCTTTCGGAGTCTGAGGAGCCATCGCCATTGGTGGTTTAGCAGGCTCAGCTATCGGTTTCGCCACCGTCTCAGCTGGTGGTTTAGGCTGAGGAGCTATGGGTTCTGGCGTTGACTTGGGTTTCTGCTCTCTCTGTTTTGCAACTGCAGGGGCCGCAGATGAAGTGGGTTTTGGAGGTGTAATTGGTTTGGGGACATTAGCATCAGCATCTTTGGGAGAATCCAGCTGAGTAAATGTTCTTTTGGGCATGGTGATGGTGAGAAGACCATTTCTATAAGAACCCTGGATTTTTTCAACGATGCAGTTCTCAGGAACTGGGAAGGATTGATTCATTCGGCTTCGTGTTTTCCTATCCGCTGCTTTCTCTGCTTGAACTTCGATTGTGCGTTTAGAATCCACGTACTTGACGTTTACTTGTTCTTTACGAAAATCTTTTAAAAATAACGACTTCCATGTCATTATCAAAATATCGTATCATCCGGCTACTAACGATTTAACAGTTCAATAACAAATAGAACCATTCAAAAGTGAATAATAAAATTAAGACTTTTTTATAGTTTATTAACTAAAACGACATAAACCCTATATTTCAATGAGAAAGTTTTATAGATTAAATACTATTATATAACGAACACTTTATTTGAAACAAGGGTTTCAAAATTTGATTATAGTAGAATGAAAATGAAGTACTTATTTAAGAAAATGAGCACTCTCGTAAGCGATTTAACCTAAAGAACAAACCTGGAAGATGAATAACAAGAACATCAGCTCCCTGTTCTTCCTTCCGGTCAACCCGAGGTTGGAAATCCTTATAAACAACGGCAGGTGCGTTGGTCCTTGCTCTTCCTGCCATGCTCTTCTTTGGATGATTGCTGTGTCAATAATATTATGCTTTGAGAATTTCTTGAATCGATGCGCTTTTGCATTGAATTCCGACATGCATTTATACGTATGGGATTCGATAGCTGACGCCACGTTTCTTGATGGCGACACTATCCTTTATCTTCGGCTTTGGTTTTGAGAAGTCATCGGGGTTTCAGTTTCCTTCTGGCTTCTCAGACGTGTTCTACACGTAAAGCACCCTGTTCTTTGTTTGCCCTAATATTTGTTCACTCGAATCCTTTTTCTGTAGGTTCTCTCTCACTGTCCAAGTTGTGTTCAGTTTTTGATGGATCTTTTGAAGGCAGTGTTTCAGAAGTCTGATTCTTTTTAATATTTAACATCATTATAAAACATATTATATTCACTCTAATCAAACTACTTCGGTGGTTAAAAATAATAATTGTTATCTTTAAAGATTCCGGGTTTTAGCACCCACCTCTACAAATAGAAGTGTTTAAGCATTTATTGTCAAATGATTTATGATCTTTAGAACAAATACTACTTTATAATTATTTAGTTTAATCAATATATATACCACACATGATTAAAATGTGTATTATGATTAATAAAAAATAAAAAATAATACATTTATTTCTAGAGTTGAGATAAATGTTAAAACTAAATTTTGATTAAAAAATTATAACGTGAAACATATACGGTTTTATATAATATAGACAATTTTAATTATAAATATATATAGGGATTAGCATAGTTCACTTACATCAAACTTTTATCTTATTTAAATTTTATCTGAATTTTATATTTTTAACACATCATTCAACGATTTAGATTTAAATAAGTTTTTTAAAAAAATAAAATTTATTTAATTTTTAAAATAAAAACTTATACATGACTTAAATATATAAAAAAAATAATTACATTATTATCACATCAAAAATAAAGACAATACTTTTTCAAATTGAATAAAAAATAATTATTTTTAAATATACAAAAGATAAGTATATTATTATCCCGAGTTAGATAAAAGATTTTTACATAAAATCTAAATCTAACCTAATAGTACTCTGCAAAAATCCTAACCCACCCATTCTAAATTATATCAAAAATCCATTAGATCCAAATCTCATACTCATTCTAAATTATATCAAATAAATAATATATATATATATAATGATGTTACATAAATAGTGACTAAAAATTATATCTAATATATATAAAAACATAAAATGATAGGCAGTGACTAGAAATTAAATCCACTTAAAATTTAATTTGTACAAATTAATGAAATAATAAAAATTATTATCTATTCAATTATATTTTTTTCTTTTTTATTAATAAAGATTTTATTTAATTGTCTAATAAAATAAAACAATGAATTCATTAAATAATGTCAGGATTCCGAATCCTAACATTTGTGAATGAGACAAATTGAATTAAAAAGATAACTCCATTATAGATCTCTGTAGAACTCGATCTAGATCAATCGAACAATATATTCGACGCCAGTGGTTAAATAAAAATAATAATTCAACGGTAAAAAATAATTACTTATGCCATTGTAGGACATACACATGCCTCAAGAAAAAGGATAAAATAAAAACAATAAGCAGCTTCCTAACCCATATATAGTATATACATGGAAATCCAAAGTAACTCGCTCCACCAGGAACGGAATGAAAACCATTTATGAAGATGATATGCACTTACAGCAACTAATTCATATATTCAAATAATATCCACATGTACCATTTCTTCATCAACTCCGTCGACATCCTCTCCGTCGACATCCTCTCCGTCGACATTCACGTCCTGATCATTACCCTTGTACTGCATGTCGATGCAAGCCCGCATTCCGGGAAAAAGAAAATTAAATCAATGCTTTCGATGAAAATTATAATATAATTAAGCAAGTCGAATATTCTAGTGGAAACTAATGGGCAAATGCTCAACAAGAATATAACTAACCCGTGAGTAACTATTTCGGAGGATCGGAGGAGGTGGAGGAAGTAAAAACGGCAAGCGTGATGCCTCGAACTTCTGCTCTTCAACTTCTAGTACGTCGTCATCATCTGCATGAGCAGCCATGCTTGTTGACGGCAATGATATGGAAGCACGTGCATCCTTTAACTACAAAATAGCATGGCAGAGGATTAAAAAATGCATACAATATTAGATTCCGATTGTCCTCCTCGCCCCCAGCTTTCAGTCACTTACTGTAAGCAGGAAATGTAAAATACAATATCCTTGATTACACAATTCGCTCCGGTACTAAACGGATTATGCTACAGGTGGAGTATTCTAAGTGAGAGACATTATTACAAATTTATCTTGGAAAGAAAACATCAAAATGATTCCGAGCAATTACTTGTTATCGGAAATAAATACGACCGACAAGCTACCAAATTTATGCATTACATGTTGCTCTCACTCAACATTTTTTTCATTTTATCACCCATCGTTATATTCTTCATATGACCAAAGCAATATTTGATGTATGAGCCTGGCGCAGTGCTACAAAGGTCTGAAGTCTGAACTATGCAGCTAAGCACCACACTTGGCTTTGTTTGGTATGAAGGATGGAAACTAGGAAGGATGGAAAATTTGTTAATAAAATGGTTAAGATTTTCGTAGTTAGAATCTTAACCATTTGATTAACAAATATCCCATCCTTCATACCAAACCAAAGCCTTAATCTGACACCTTTTACAAACAAAAAATAAAAACGAAAAAGGGAACCTAGTGAATATCCCCTGCAGCATAAAAAGATATATGATAAAGAGTACCTTATCAACAGTAGATGTCCTAACTGAGACTCTCTTTCCTTTCCTCAGCTTCTCATTACTTGCAGAGGGCACGGTATCACTGTTCCCATTTTTCACTGAACCATTTTCCTTGTCTATATTTGAATGAGTAGGGCGTTCACTCCAACGAGACCGCTTTCCTGATCGGATAGTTTCTTCCGGACATCCTTTGCCTTATAGATTAAAACAGCAAAATATAAATAAATCAATCAGCATAAAAACAATATTACAAATAATATGCCGCATAACATTAATCGGGAAAATAAATTCACTTCGATAATTATGCACAGGTATATTCAATACGCAGAAATTACCCACACAGAATAGCCAATAGAGACTATATATGTATATGTATAGTACATAGTACGGGACAGGTAAGCAGTATTTGTAACATCATGTACCAAAGACTTCAAATGTATGTCTCAAAACAAAACAGTAATTTCAGCTTTAGAAATAAAAAGAAGTAAAAGTGGACTTTTCCTCCAATTTTCAGGTCACGTCATCATATCACAGAAAATTCTATAAATGCATGTCTTTGAATCCCATATCTTACATTTAAAAATCTTAGAGTCAGCAATCAGCTCAAAGAATTCTTCAGATAATAATCCTATTTAACTCAAATCAATTAAGAATGATGGCTACAGTCTACAATAAAAGTTACCATTATATGCAGGGATTAAGAACTCAAATTTTATGTAGACACTAAGTATTCCACAACATTATATGCATGCACAGCGATATCAAACAAAATACCATCATGAATGGGCCCTTCAGGGATGTCTTTATTGGACCACAGCCTTTTCTTGCTTGGAGAAGTGTTACCCCTTAACGCTTTTTGTGGATAGGATGCATGTAAGCCATTTGTCTCGTCGTCACTAACAATATTGATGTTGGAGTTCTCTTCATCACGACTGGTTCCAGAAATATTTAAACCAAGTTGTTCTCCTGACTTCTGCAATCGAGCTTGAGATCTACAAATTTACATAAATACTAACTAATGAACAAAACCTACCAAACACTAACCAGTATTTCTTCAAATTTCAGAATCAGAGATGAGATAAGATGCATCAAGTTCGATAAAGCTAACAAATAAAAATTAAGAAAACATGTATTGTAAAAACTTACCTCTTCAGTTCATTTTCTATCTGTGAGCAACGATTATATGCTTTGACAACTTCCTGATTCTTGAAGTGATCCTAAATATTTTATAAGTCCAAAGAAAATGGCTAAAAGAAGGACCATTCATCGAGAATGAACAATTAATCATATCATGCCTGTATCACTACAGTTTCGCTTACCTTTTACATTCCTCTTTTTCTTTTTCTAATTGAGAAGCAAGCTCCTCAACTTGAGAGGAAAGAGTATCTGCTTCTTGAACTTTTTCTTCCACAAATGTCTGGGGGGAAATCAAACATCATATTGTAGAACTAAAATCCATTTTAAAAAGACCAAAGATAAAACCAATCAAATTTAGACAGATGAAGAAAAGTTATTATCATATCAATAAAAATAAACATGACATATCATCCTATGAAACATTATTACAAGACAAAGCTGTTCAACTGAAATAATTAACAATCAAGAAGATAAATACTATTCTACTTGCCTTTTCTTGTTCATGATTGATGAAAATTAATCTCAACACCAGGAGACAAAATCTACGTAATCATGTTGATATGTTAGGCTTAACTTAATTGACTCACTACACAAAAGAATAAAAGACGAAAACAAACAAGCAGAACAAATAACGAGTTCCAGACCCCGAACACCAAGATGACTAATATGTAGCATGTAGGGAAGTTAAAAACATAAAAACAAAAGCAATGAGGAAACATTCTGCAGATTAAATATGAAGGCAGACCCCAATACCGATGATTAGGGGTGAGCAAAACTCGACTCAACTCAAAAAATCGATCTTTTCGACTCGAATTAACTCCGAATTGTAATTTCATGAACTCCACTCCTCGAGAAAAAAGTCTTAAATTTGATTCATGTTATAAAATAGAACTCAAATAGTAACTCGAAATTTTTAGTAATAACTGGATTGGTTTTCAAGTTTGAGTTAAGTCCCTCGACTTTCTACGATATATGTATATCACAAATGAAAAAAACATGAAGAAATATATGTGTATCTTATATGGTTATAGAAATCAGTTTAAATTGGAATAAAATAATATCATAATATTATAAATATTTACAATTATATTTAAACAAAAACTCGAACAACTCGACTCATTGACACGACTCAAATTTTATAAACTAGAACAACTCAACTCAAATTTTATAAACTCGAATCAACTCAAAAAAAATTCAAATCAAGTTTGAGTTATAAAATATGACTCGTCAACTCGAATAACTCGAAATTTTTTAACTCAACTCGACTCCATCGAACGCTCACCCCTACCCATGATGACTTAATATGTTGGCAACTTAAAACATAAAGACAAACGCAATGAGGAAGCATTCTGCAGATTAAAGTATGCACAATCAAGTGCATGTTCCAGATGCTTTGTAATCAAATATCCGTAGTCATGATAGCAACCAATAAGCAAATGCAATTAGGTAGATATTAACTGACCTCTAATTCATGCTTGCGGTGAATAAGCATATCAATATCCAAGTGTACTTCTTTCAACTGAAATAGTCAAACACATATTTATATATTATATAGAGAGAGAAAGGATGGGGCGGCGAGCGGGTTAGAATAGATGCTACAAATGATAATAAACCAAAATTTTCAAACCTGATCCTCAAGAAAGCTTTTGGAAGTAGAAGATATGTTTCTCCCTTCTATAACCGGATCTTCAATCTCATTTGAAATTTTCAATTTTTCAGAAAAAACACTCTGTCCGTCCAAACGTTCTTTCTTCTTCCGATTTCTGAATTACATGCAATGAAGAAAATAAGAATCATAATAGTGTAAAATTGTGAAAAATTATAAACAAAATTAATTATACACCAACATAGTGAATTTTTTCTTCTCTATATCAATTATACCTTACATTTTAAGTTTAGATCTTCACTATGAAACATTTTACCCGCTAGGAAAAAGAAAAACCTTATGTGGGCTTGTATCATAAAAGTAAGTTTGACAATATGATTACATTGACCAGGCATCATACATTTCTACTAAAAGTCTGGTTGAACTAGCTTCAAGGACCTTAAATGTAAATTCTTTAATCTCAATACATCAAACTTTCCCTCGTATAAACGAGGAAGAAATAAAACACTATAAATGGGCTTATACCAATCCCTTAATTTATGATAACTTGCATTCTTATTAGGAAATAAAGGCTACTTTTCAATGGAACCATCCATGGTATTTGACTATAAAAGTTCCGCTTCAACAATATTCTACTGCAATTAGACACAAGTTCACGATCAACAAGCTACAATAACCCAGTTCAATTTGTACAAGGAAGATGTAAAATTATGTAGCATAATGACAAATGCAAAACCTCCAGGCCATGAAAACCGAATAAAATATCCCATTCAAATAAATAAATGCAACTATCAAGATTTTAGAATAATAAAACCCAAGTCTAACAATGTCAATTATACATATATAGTCCAACTCCAATCTATGATTTCTAAAATTTAAGAATTGGGTTTAGTAGTCAGAAAAAAAATCTAAGTATAGGAGCAAAGCCTGAAAGAATATTCCCAAGGGATTATCTATAACTACAGTTTGCCGACGGTAATGACACCAAATCCTGGTCCAGAAAAATGAGTCCCACTCTCAAAACCCCACGATGCTTGCTTCTAGATCAGTTTCCAATAAATTTGCCATCATAAGAAGCAAAGTAAGGAAAACTATTCCAACAAACCAACCAGGCATAACAAAGACAACTACTAACAAAGTTTCACCATACAGGGTATGTGCTAAATTACCTCTTTTTGTCAATGGACCTCAAAGGGCTATATCCTGCAATTTTAAATTCCATTAGTGCGTCTAAAACCCAATCGGATGGGAAAGAGAGTAACAAAGAGAAAAATTGGAAACAGTGAAAGAAAAAGAATCAGCATCAAACGTCAAAACCTAAAGAGTTAACGCTACTCATGAATAAGTTTTCAGAAGTAACCAAGCCAATAGTAAGATTTATCACATTCATCTCCACTTCATGCTTTGCAAGCCAACAAATAAATGCGGAACAACGTAGCAATGTAGAAATCAAAGGTTATGAGGATAAAATCATTAACCCCGCAATGTCTGTCGGTCTCTCGCATCTCTTCTTGGAGAATATCTTCGCTCAGGAGATAGCCTTCTGTCAAGCTTATCCCTCAAGTCACCATTTCGATAGTTCCTTTTACCTGGAAATGACAAAGAAATTAGAATTGGGAACAAAACCACTCAAGATAATTAAACTGCATCAGGTGAAACAAGAACAGGGACAAACACAATCAATGTTAAGCTTACCATCACATGGAACAATATGAGAAACATTATATAGAACAATAATACTGCCTTCTTGCCAGTTTCAAAGGTAGGGCAAAAACAGTGTCCTCAGATTTGAATAGAAAAGGAAAACATGTACTGTAGCCTATATCATTGAGATAACCGTCGAATGATAGGAGTGGAAAAAAGATAATCACCATAATCCCATCTGATTGTTGGGCAATAAGAAATATACGAATTCCGAATTGAATGCTACGATAGATTTCTCTCCAAATCCATATATAAGAGAATATAGTAATTTGCCTGGCATGCAATACAAATAGGTTTATTCTGAATGTGTCCCAATAAATTTGCATTCTTTCCCCATGCAAGAAATCCATAGACAGTCACTGAAGCAGAAGAAAGGAATTATGGAAACATCACATGCTCCAGCAAAATATGCAACCAGCAGAAGTGATGACAAATTACAGACCAGAGTTGCACATCAAATCTGCCTCACATCTCAATACTTTGTATGAACACATGTTCCGAGAAAACCTAGAACATAACCTTCGCAAACGCCTGCTTGTTTCATGGATGCATAATGACAAAACAAGATATAGCAGAGCAGGAAATATACCAAAACCAGCTCTAAGATTTACCAACCAGCATAGTCCTTTCTGAAGAAAGACAATACTAACTCTGTCAGTGGACACTTTGTTTAAACTGAAACAACCAGGTAGCTGACATAATGGAAAAATAAGTCTCCAGAAGAAACCTAATTATAAGTTAAAAAACTGTGTCAACAACTTCGAGATCCCACTCATGTTTATAAACCAAGTTGATCTGATCTGATATGAGCAGAATCAACTATTTGTTACAAAGAATATGCAGCCAAGCCCATGAGAGGTTTATGAGGGAAGCAATGGACAAAAAAATACAGATTGGCTAAAAATAACATACCAGAAACATATTAAAATGTATAGAAAAAGAAAAAAAATGTGGTTTAAGTAGTTCTGCCTTTCCGATACAATAACTTCAAACCTAATATCAACAAAAGATGAGAGCAGCAACAAGAGTTTCGGTGAAGTAGCAGACAAAAGCAACATTTTTTTATCTGTTCAGCAATAGACAGCAAACACAAGATGGACTTCATTTTAACAGAGCTAAAGATAACTTTTCCTATAGAATTTACAGCATTACCATCTGACTTTAGCATCCAAAAGCAAGCAGAAATTTTAAAGTTTAAACATCTTAATGTGTTTAGCTAAGTGCCCTTATGGAAGTATCCCTTCCTTAAAGAGACCTAACACATTATAAAAGGTTTGTTACAGTGTTCTCTAAAGTCTAAACATAAACCAAAATCCAGCAAAATCTTGACAAAATTTATTAACACCTAGCTTCGTTATCAATTATCATTTTCTGTTCCAATGCCCTTCAAATGGTCTCAAGTAACGTCTAGAAATTTACATCAAATTTGAAGGCTTAAAAGAAATCCACACGAGCATATAAAGGAAGTACGCAAAAGCCGAATTCAAAAGCCAATTAAACGATTACCGCCGTAAGAACCGGAAACCCCACGGAGATCAGCATCTCCATGCGCGAAGGAGCAACTCTGGCGCGAACAGCGTCCTCTTTGATACAATACGCACAGCTTTGTTTTGAAAAGCTTCCCTTCAACCATTTTTTAATCTATATCGGATAATCGGAGAAAAAAAACTTAAACAGAAGTTCCAATATATTCGAATAACCGCGAATCTTGAGACAGGGAGCGAAGATGCAAACAGAGTTAATAATATACGCCGAACATCGCGAATCCTGAGAAATAAATAATTGTTACTTGAGTTGAGCGTGCAGTGCCAAAAAAAGCTGGAATTATAATATTAAAGATGGAAACAAACGCTTATACTACTAGTAGTACTATTTCTACAACAGAATGATTAACGCTCTTACTGTCGTTTTGAGGGTTTTGATTTACCGGGAAAAAACACGATCGAAGCGAGGATGATTGCGAAGCCGTAAATAAAAGAGATTGAAACCTAGCACAGCGAGCCTTTGAGAAGAGAAACTTGGGAATTGGACGGATTTTTCATGAGGAAGAGAACACAAATGCCCAAATCCAAAATTTTAATGGGCTTAAGACCCAATAATTAGTTATTTGACAAAGGGTAAACTACACCGGTGGCCCTTTATATTTTTAGACTGTTCGATTTTGGTAACCAAATAAAAAAATCAGTTTTGATCTCTTACGTTATCGGTCTGTTCAATTTTAATCATTCGATCATTAATTTCCATTAATCCAGTATTAAAGTCTAATTTTACAATTAAAAAATAAAACAAAAATACCTAAGAGACCTAACTTTAATACACGTGAGATTTAAAATTCAAATAAAATAAAAGTCACATAAGTGATCCAGTTTTATTTTTCAAAATGTCAAGTCACACTTTCACTACTAGTAGGATAACATGAGTTAACGGTCGAAAGTGCAAAATGTATTAAATCAATAATATAAAGGATCAAAATGAAAATTTTTAAACAATTGAAAAAAATCAAGAGGATAAAAAAAATATAAACAACCTTCAATGTAGTTTACCATCTGATAATTTCAAATTTTAATATTTAAAATTAGTCGCTTAACATTAGCCTAATAGTTGAATGTTTATTTTATATCTAAAAATAAGAAATATGTTTATTTTGGAATGCCTAATTATTAGGGATGGGCATGGGTCGGGTCGGGTTGAGTTTTTGATCCACCCGACCCGACCCGAGAACAAAGGATCTTCTACCCGAGACCCGACCCGATCCACCAAAACAAAATTTCACCCGACCCGAACCCGACATATAACTTAGAAACCTGACCAGACCCGACCCGAAATAATAAAAAAAAAATATTTTTATTCAATAAAAACAGTGACTTAATTAAAAAAAATTATATATAGATGGGTATTATTATAATTATTCATAAATATATAAGATAAAATTATATTTTTTTCCGGGTCGGGTATTTTTCACCCTAAACCCGAACTCGACCCGACCCAAACATAACACTTAAAAAAATCCAACCCGACCCGAATCCGATTTTTTTTAAAAAAAAAAACCAACCCGATCGGGTTGGATTAGAACCCGTCGGGTTCGGGTCCATGCCCATCCCTTCTAATTATGCAGATTTATGCAGATAAGAGGGAATAAAGAAGGATTGCCACCAGTTTTGGCAACTCACACTCCTTCAAGTATATCAAAATAAGCGTGATTACTTCATTTTTGAATTTATAATGTGTTGTTTCACGTTTCACATTGGTTAATGAAATTTGGTGGCTAATATCAACAAACACCCTAACTACCCCTTATCAAACAAAGACTAACGTTAAACAAGTTCTTTGTCTTTGGCGACCTAACTCTTGTTTTTCTTCCTTCTTCTTTATAGACCCAATACTTAACTGTCTAAATATATGTTCCCTACATACGCCATTGATTGAGCTACTAAAAACATAATCAATGGTGAAAATGCAGCCTTCTATGCTGATCTCAAAAACCCAATCTTCTACCCATCTGCTGAACTTCATTTTGATCTCATCTTCTGCTTGTGTCACTTATCTTGTTGTATCGGTATTGTTACTCGACAACTCAAAGCCGCCTTTGCATGTATATTCTTCTCAACCAGATGCTTATACACCGACTACCATGGAGCATATAGTGTTCGGGATAGCTTCGAATCGGAAATCATGGCCGAAACGAAAGGAGTATGTTAAGCTATGGTGGAAGCCTCAACAAATGCGTGGATGTGTGTTCCTTGAAAGCATGCCTCCTAATGCAACTTCAATGGATGAAAATGTCACTCTGCCTCCCATATGTATCTCGGAGGACACTTCACAGTTTAGTTACACGTACAGAGGTGGTCTTCGGTCGGCGATCCGCGTCGCACGTGTAGTTTCGGAGATCGTTGCACTTAATCATTCTAATGTAAGGTGGTATGTTTTTGGGGATGATGACACTGTTTTCTTTCCAGATAACTTAGCGAAGACACTTTCCAAATATGATCATCGCCTTTGGTACTACATCGGGGCTGGCTCGGAGATTTATGAACAGAACAGGATTTTCGGATTCGGGATGGCTTTCGGTGGAGCAGGCTTTTGTATAAGCGATCCTCTGGCTAAAGTTCTGGCAAAAGTTTTCGATTCTTGTATAGGACGTTATCCTCATCTATATGGAAGCGATTCCAGGGTCTACTCTTGCTTGACAGAGCTTGGTGTTGGCTTGACACACGAACCCGGCTTTCATCAGGTACGAATCGGTTAAAATCGTAAATTGCTGCTGAATTTTGGTTTCTGCAAACTTGTTTAGCAGTATGAAGTCGGTTCGAACTTTGTTTAAATGCTTATGTTCGGGGTTTGAATTTCGACCAGTTCGATGTCCGGGGCAATGCATATGGTTTGTTGGCTGCTCATCCATTGACACCCTTGGTATCACTCCATCACATAGATCACGTAGACCCAATCTTCCCTAACATGACAACTACCAAGGCGCTGCAACACTTGCTCCATGCTACAAATGTTGATTCTCAGAGAATTTTGCAACAAACGATCTGCTACGATCATCTGTTTTTACGGACAGTTTCGGTTTCGTGGGGCTACGCCATTCAAATATACAATAAACACATACCTTTACCTGATGTTCTCCCTGTTCCAGAAACATTCAGGCAATGGAAATGGGGAAATGTATTAGCAGGCGTGTACACATTTAACACCAGAAAATTCTACCCACATCCTTGCCACAGACCCACAATTTTCTTTTTAGACAGTGTATCTTCTAGCAAGCATGGGATCAAGACTGTTTACAAGAAATCTAATGAAGATTGCATGCTTTTCATGGATCCAACGAGGAAACTCGAAGAAATCAGAGTTTTCACTGAGAAACTAGACCTTGATTATAAGCAGGTACCGTACTTTGTTTCTTTTATATTATGTAATGAATTATGATGATTGCAGCTGATGTTTATGGTATCTTTTCTTGTACTTAGATGCAGGCACCGAGGAGGCATTGTTGCGACGTGTTACGACTAAATCCGACAAGCTTTTGGACATCACGATACGGGAATGCGGAGAAGATGAACTGATATACATGCATGAATAGATGTTTGGTTTCAAACTGTGTTTATGGATAGTATTAGGGCAGATTCTTAGATGTTAATAGCATTACGGATTCTGGGGGCTTTTGATAAAGTAGGAGTTTCACTGATTTGTTTAGGCATGAGTTTTGTCGATTTCTTTATGGAAGGAATTCTGGAGACCATGCTTTCCTTTACATGAATTGGCAGGGCAGTATGTCCTTAGTTTGTCAATACCATCTTTCAACCTCTTTGTTACTTCTGTCACTTGGTTTTAGATGGGCATGTGTCGGGTCGGGTTTTTGGTCAATCCGCCCCCACCTGAAAATACATATCCTCCATCTGAAACCTGATCAGAGTTTAAGGGTGGCTTTATCCGATCGAATCCGACCTGGCTTGAAATAAATATATTTATAAAAAAATATTATTTTATTCAATAAAAGAAGGGATATAATTGAAAAATAATACATAGAGGGTTATTATTGCAATTATCCCTAAATATATAAGATAAATTTAAATTATTTTTCTGTTCAGGTTGGATCGGGTATTTTTCGCCATAAACCCGAATCTGAGCAGATCTGAATATATTTTTTTAAAAACTTGACTTGACTCTATTCGAACCCAAAATTATTTTATCCAATCCAATCCAATCGAAACTCATCGGATTCAAGTCCTAAGTCCGTCCCTAATTTTATTACATTATACTATTAAAGGTTGATGGCTACTTATTATCTAACCACCATGCATTTGTCACGCCCCACGCTTTAGAGGAGTCCCTTTTACATGACTTGTTTTCATTATTTTTAAAAACTCTCAAAATTTAAATATAATACATTATAAACATATCAAGTAACTTCAATAATAAAAAATTATTATTTTTAGGTCATGGATTCGAATAATTGTATTTGCAGATTATGTACATTGTTAATTGATTAATAAAATTAAGAATAAATATTATATTGTAATCATCTTAAATTATAAAAAAATAAAACTCGTGATATATTAATATGACAACAGAAAATTTATGATTTTGAGTATTTTTCCTCTGATCCATTTAGATAGGAGGTTTTTCTTCTCTGTCTTCACCAGCAAGATTTTTTAACGTGAAATTTTGTTAGGACATGCCATGTTTCTTGGTTGGATCATGTTTTTTTCCCCAGATTTTAAACCTCATGTAAACGACTTAGTGGATATACACCCCATACTTGAGTGTTCTTACACGTAATGTGCAATTGTTATGTTCATCTTTTATACAATTGAAGGGGCCTTTATCCTTTTTTCCCCTTCCTGCCTTGTCGAAGATTTCTTTGCACCTCTACAGAAAGTGGCTTCTCTAAAAACTTGTGTGGATTCTGCATCAATTCCTGCTGCCCAGAAGTCTGATATAAGGGTCAAAATATGCAGAAGGCTGTTGCGCCAGCAACCGAATTGGCTGAAGTTGCTGCCAAAGAGGGAAAGACTTTCTACGTCATTCGTATCGACGTTGGTTTAGACGCAGCTGCTCTTCGTGAAGCAGTTTCGAAAGTTATTCAACAGAAGGTTTCTAGCTAATTCTGACCATTTCTTTTACCTATCAACCAGGGTCTTTTATCGAAGTCTGCTTCACATGTTTGTGCTTGAATGTCTTCATTCAATGAACAGGGAATGCCGGTTATGATTTTCAGTATCGATGAAACCACAAACAAGGCTGTCGTGTATGCTGGTGTACCCGAGAAATCCGAACAGAGCAAGCAACTGAAGTGTCAGAGTGGTTAACAAATGCCCTAGGGCCTCTGAAGGGGAGGTGTGGCAGAGGCAAGGGCGGTCTTGCTACAGGACAGGTCGGTAACACATTTTTCTTTTATCACTCGAATTGTTGAATCTAGTTCTTCGACTCGAGCCACCTGCAATTGTCTCATGAATTCGAGTTTGCCTGCATGCCCCATTGTTTCGGGGAACTGACGTATCGCACGTTAACGACGCCATGGACTTGGCAACTTCATTTGCTTCAATGAAGTTAACATGAAACAATTCTCTGCATGGAAGAAGCTTTGGTACTGTTAAATCTGTATGGAGAAAATACAGTGAAAGGGTAAAATATATTACTTTAAAGGGGTGTTTGGTTCAAGGATCCCATGTTTGGTTGGCCGAGAATCTTATTCCCGGTAATGTTTTATTACCAATAGTAGATTTTTTGGGTTATATTACCGGGAATGTCATTACCTCCATTCTCTTAGGTATTGTAACATTACCGGCGTTTTGGACTAAAATGCCCTTAAATTTTTATTTTTTTTCAAAAATATCATTCTTCTGTCATTGAATTATAAAAATTCTACAAATGTTAAATTACAAATTTATCCTTAAATTATTTCAGATTTACAAAAAAAATTTATAATTAAAATTTTATATGAAGTTCAGGGGTTAAAAATTTTTTTACCCTTTCATTAAACTTTTTTGTATTTTTAAATTTGTAAAAAAATTATATAAATATTATGAATTTAATTTTTTAAAGAAACTATATAAATATTTTACAATTTGTAATATTATACAAATATATAATAAGGACAATTTGATCAAATATACATTTTAATCCTTTAACCAAACACGGTAATCTTACATTCCTGCTAAACCAACCAAATACAAAATACAACATTCCCAGTAATCCTATTCCCTGGTAATCTTTTATTCTCACTGATAATCTTACATTACGTGAATCAAACACACCTTTATGGTAATTCGATTGCCAAAGCGGGCTACTAGTGATTGTTGAAGCAGTATTGTTGTAATGTATTACTCTAATATTTTAATTGGTCACTTGGGTCTTTTAATACAAATTTGATTAAATTACTTGGTAATTTTTGGATAAATTTAAATAAATGTTTTTAAGGTAAGGTGAGTTTATTTAAAATCACAGGTTTAATAAAAAAAAATTATTTATGTAAAATAAAATTGGTCCCAAGTGTATGGATGATGATGATTCATGGTATGTGCCTGATTGCCACTCAACCTCAAAATTCGATATCCTTTTAAATATCATTCTAAACTACATATTGAATATATATATATATATATATATATAATCATTATTTTCAAGGATTCTCTCTGAAATAAAAGATAATTTTAAAGGTTTTTATTTAAAATCAAATAAAAAAATTGAATTCAAGAGTTGATACTCCTAGACCAGAGCATATCCACCGCACTAAAAGAATTAATACATTGGAAATCATATGTCGTCTTTTCTTGTGGACAAATTTACGAATATAAATTTAACTTTAATCGATAATTCTTCAAACATGGATACAAAATATTCTAAAAGAAACTTCTTAGGGTAAATTATATGTTTAGTACCTAAAAACAACCACTTTTGGTCCATTTTAGTACTTAAATTTTCATTTTTTTTAAAATCATACTTAAAGTTTAATTTTTGTTTTATTTTGTATTCCTATCAGGCTCGGTCCTGACATTTTAATGACTCTAGGCCAGGAGATGATAACAAAAAGATAAATGGGGTCCTACACTTAGTTTCCCTTTCGATCATTAAAATGGGGCCACTAGATTATCATGTTTTTGAGTTTTTTAATAAAAAAATATGTTTAAAAATATTTTTTAATTATTATGGCCCACTGAATTACCATATTTTCGAGTGTTTGAAATAAAAAAATATGTTTAAAATATTTTTTAATTATTAAACTTAAAAATATTTTTAAAAATGAGTCCCTCCAAGCTTGGAGCCCTAGGCGGTCGCACCCTTGGCGTATGCTCAGGGCCGACCCTAACCCCTATAACATTAATTTTTTTAAAAAAAATTGAAAGTTTTGGTATTAAAACAGACCAAAAGTAATAGATACTATATGTGTTAAGTTTTTAACGGTATGGTACTAAAGTGAAACAAAAACTAAATGTTAAGTATGGTTTTGAAAAAAATTGAAAGTTTAAGTATCAAAACGGATCAAAACTGATAATTTAAATATCAAATACGTAGTTGACCCAACTTTTCATTATACACGTATTTTAAAAGAAAAAACAAAAGAAACAAATAATAATAATAATAATTTACAATAACGAATAAATAAATAAATAATGTTAAATAGTAAAAAGATATAAAAAAAGTAATCACATAAAATAATAACAATGGGTTATAAATATATGTTCATCTTTCCATATTGTAATAATCTTTGCAATAAAAACTATAATAAGCAATTTGAATTGAGCAAATAATTGGCATACAAACATGTTACTATTTCAGCTACAGAAATTGTAATAAATATATAGCAATGTGCAGAGTTACTGCAAAGCAGCAGCAGTAGGAAGGAAGAGTTAGCCCCCACCAGCAAGTGTCGCAGCCCAGCCGTGCCGTGCCCTATCATCCATCCCTTGTACGGTCCACCATACACCTTTTTTTGGCCCCGACACGTGTGGGGCAACCACTCGTCAGCCGCAGTTGCTGAATAACCGCACTCCCAGAGGGAATCACTTTTAAGTTTGATGATCACACAACCCATAACCACTCCCCCTTTCTTCTCTCTTTGTTGTTTGCTTACTTTTGGTCTCTTTCTTCCACTGCTCTCATCTCTCTTATATCACCAATGCTTCCACTCTTCTTCAACCATTTCTTCTCCTGTGTACACACACACACACACATATATATATATATAGAGAGAGAGAGAGAGATTGCATGAAATGAATGGAGGAGTGGGAGAGAAAAAGAAAGGGTTCGTTTGCATGCTTTTCCACGGCTTTCTTGAACTTGTCCTCGTCGTGTAAAAGAGGATGAAGCTCAAGATAGCCGTGGGAAGACATGAACGGATTCCCCCTTCGTAGATCAGTTTCCCTGTCATTAAACACAGTGACGATGATTAAGGTACTCTATGTTTCTTATAATTTGAGGTGGCTTTTTTCACAAATGAAACCATCGGAGTGGTTAAAAGATTTGTTGCTATTTTTAGGTTCCGAATTCAAGCGCTACATATGCAGAGTACGAGTGTTCAATTGATTGAAAATCACTAAATATATAATCTCTTATATTCGCCTTTACTTTTAAGAAAAAATTAATAATAATTTGAGGTATGCTCAAGAATATATGACTATCTCATGGTTTCCTTTTCCAATGATGTTTTAGTTTCTACAACTTATA